ATATCAAGGAGAAAAGCCACGTTTAGAAGGAATGTCTCTGTCTAAACACAACAGTAAATCCCGGGGAACCTTTGCCTCCAAAAAACACTCATACAGCAGGCAGTAGATCCATAAACAGATCTAACTCTTTGCCTCGACTCAGTCATCTAACTTCTGCAAGCATTGGCAAGTCACTATACTGTGTTTTGTACTCCACAACCAAAGCTCGAAATTGTCTGTTTCAAGGCATTTGCAGCAACGAAGTTGATGATTTTTGAGACACTATCCATTGTGCTCTTGAGAAATCCTCTCTTCAGTTTGCTGCATAACTGGTGCAGAATGCAATGGTATGAAAAGAAATCTAGAAACTGTGGATTTTTCTTCAGCAAAGAAATTAGCCCCTTCTCTTTTCCAACCATGGAGGGAGCGCCAACAGTTGTTACCAAAATAAAATTCTTTGAATCAATACATTTCCTGGTCCTTCAAAAAAATGCCAGCAGCGCAAAATAAATGTTCTCTCTCCTAGTTTGACCCATCAAAGGTAGCAAAGTAAGAATTTCTTCGACAGTTTTTGCAATTGAAAAAACGCACCCAGATTATGAGCTGAGATGTCTGAATGATCAGTAGATTCGTCCACTGCTAGACTGAGATACTCAGTGCTTTCAAAAACAGATTGCCTGAAATGCTTTCAGCTAGTCTTACTATAGTTGAATCAGACACTTGCAGTTTTGATATTTAACTATATCCTCTGTTTTTAACTCTGCAAAAAGTGATTCACTTCAGTCCAAGAAGCACTGCTTCATCAATTCACCTTCAGTAAAAGGTCTTTTCGATTTAGCTATATGCCAATCCATTTTGAAGGAGGCTGTAACAGCATTGCTGTTTTTATAGGGCAAACAGAACACATCTTGTTGACCACAGTAAACTTCCAGTACGGAATGTATCTTAGTTTCTCTTAAATTGCTGTCAGGTAGATACAAGTCTTTGAACTCAGGGTGACAAGATTCATGGCATTGTTGCAGGTTTGTTTTAACACAGCGATAATCTTTTGACAAAGATGGCACATTGGTTTTTCATCTCCCAAACAGGGTTGAAAACCCTGTGTTCATCCAACAAGCATCTCTTCTTTGCTGCCGTTTTAAATGCGCCTTATTAAAAAAAAATTGTATACCAATTTTTTGGGTGTTCAGCTTGAAGTTTCAGGCTGTGTGTTTCTTGGAGTGATTTTACTGTTAAAAAAAAAAAGTTTCCAAGCCAGAGCACTCCAAACCTGCGGCAGGTGGGGAGCTGGGCAAGTCAGGCCGGACACAAGAGGCAAAAAAGGACAGGTGCCCGGGATCCCCATTCTGGATTCCCAGCAGGGCTGACATCTCCACACAAGAGTCCGTTGCTCCGTGAAGAAGGGAAGCAGGGCTGCCCAGCCACACGCTGGGCCAAAATGTAACCAGTGAGAGCCAGTCAGCACCTCTCAGGTTCTGCCCAAAAAGCTAAGCAGCCAGCACTTCCCACAATACCCCGGCACTCCCAAAAGCTCCTCCATGGGGCTAGAAACACCGACACCTTGTACTCATCTGTTTCAACCAGTCCTTCCACTTGCGTCTTTCAATGCTCACCCTACCTGGGAAACACCACGCCATTATGGAACCTGTTCCCAGTGGAGGCCATGTTCAAAGGATCCCACCCGCAGGCCGTATGTTAAACCCCATGTGAACCCAAACTGCACCGCGGGCCACATGTGGCCTGTGTGTTGAGTAGCCCTGGAATAAGAGAACTCTGAGTACCAGACTACACACAACCCAAAACAGTCTATAAGAATGCCAGGAGATAGTAATGCTGGGCTCAGGCAATAAACCTTCAAAAAAAGATATTTGCCTTGTTAGAAGTCAGCTTGCAGAAGCTAGAACAAGTGGTCTCAACTGCTCTTAGCCACGAATGGCTTGCAATGAACACCTTTATTCTCTTTAGTGGGTCCCAGTGCTTTTTTTGGTTTAAAAAAGAGTGCTGGTACTCCAGTGGAAAAGTTGTTAAGTTCTGACTGGAGGTACTGGTACTGCGTATGGAGGTGCTGGTACTGAGTACCGGGCAGTACCATCACCAAAAAGGCACTGGGTATGTCTATCCTTTGAACTGGAAGTGCAATTCCCAGGTCAGGGAGATGCAAGCACATTAGCTCTGATCAAGTTTGTTAGCTACGCAGCAGCAGCGGGAAGGGCTAGGCACCTCAGAGTAAAGTCTGATAGACAAGCATACACTTAGGGTGGGTAGCTTTTCCTGCTACATACATCTCCACTATTTTTTTAGCATGCAACCTCAACCATGGGTGTATCTCCTTGAGCTGGATTTTACATATAGACGGCCTCAGAATGTAACAGGACTGAGCACCAAGGGCACAAACCATGAAGAAGTGGGATCCTACAAGGAAAATCATAGGCTTTACTCCCAGCTCCATTCACTTTTTGGGTGATGTGGGACAAGTCATTTCAGTCACAGAATTGGCACAATATCATGAGCTTCTTCAGGAGGGCTGAGAGCTTAACAGATGAGAGAATCCCACAAGCCGTAAGTTACATTCAGCCTGCCAACTGCTGCTATGTGGCCCCCGTGTCACCAAAGCTTAAAATTATGCGCAACAGATACTCACATTGAGTCCTCTGAAGAAGTCCTTGATGGACTCCTCTGTTACATCATACGGCAAGTTTCCCAGAAAGGCAGTGTAGGGGGGTGACTTTGGGAGACGGCTTCTGTCTATATTGGGTTCCCGAGCAGCCCGAGGTGCGGTGGGTAGGATGGACCGGTCAATTGGTGGGGCTCGATACACATCATCATCGTTACTATGCCAAGTGGTGGAAACTAGAAGAGAAATTTTGTTCAGCATGTCTTGACCATGTACAAGTTCCCCCAGAGCTTCTCACATCCCCTCTTCATTGCAATTGTTTGCATTTACTTGCAGCTCCCTTAGTTGTAAAATAGAGGCATTAAAGATGGTCAAGAAAAGTGTTCAGTAATATAAAGAATCCCACAACTCAACTCTGTTGTCTATTGTAGGGCACCTTTCTCCCAAACATTCTATAGCACATAACAAAAGAAGGACTGCTAAACAAAGATAGGGTGCACCTATCGAAGAAGGGTAAGAGCTTATTTTGATACACACTGGCTAACCTAGTCAGGATGGCTTTAAACTAGGTTTGACGGGAAACCAGGTGACCAAAGCTAATAGGAGACCTTGGAGAAGGGTCAGAAATTGGGGGCAGCATGAGCTGTAATAGCAAGGATAAGAGACAGAACTAGGAGGGGAAAAAAAATTAAATCTTAGATGTCTGTATACTAATTCAAGAAGTGTGGGGAATAAGCAGGAAGAACTCATAATGCTAGTAAATAAACACACTTATAACACATTGGCATCGCAGACTTGGTGGGCTAATACACATGACTGGAATATTAGTATAGAGGGGTACAGCTTGCTCAGGAAGGACAGTAAAGGAAAAAAAGGAGGTGTTGCCTTACATATTTAAAATATATACATTTAAACTAAGTTTGAGATGGAAATCGGTGAGAGACCTGTTGAAAATCTCTGGGTAAGGATAAAAAGGGAAAAAACCCAAGAGTGATGGCATGGTAGGGTCTACTACAGACTACCTAATCGGGAAGAGGAAGTAGATGAAGCTTTTCATTAAAAAAACAAAACCTAACAAAAACATTCAAAGCACAGGACTTGGTGATGGGAGACTTCAACTACCCAGACAGTTGTTGGGAACATAACACAACAGGGTACAGATTATCCAACAAGAGATGGAATGCTAGCAGCAAATTACCATCTCCTTCCAGGTCATCTGTCTCGTCGGCCCAGCTGACTGGTTTCGGAATAAAGGTGCTTCCACCACCACTGCCACCATCTTCTGCCAGAAAGTCCGTCAGAGTAAGGGTTTTCCCCTTCTTGTTCTTCTTCTTAGCTGCTAAAGAGGTGAAGGAGACACAGATAAGTAACACTGGGGCACAATTAATTCCAATAAATGCAGGGAATGGAAGAGTTACTGCCCTTCATATAATGCCTATGGAGGCAGGCATCCTACATGATCAGGAGGAACAGGCAAAAGTATTTCTTTCTGTCAATGTACTACTGCCTCTTGGAGAGTCTACTATAACAGCGGTGTGCAACCCGTGGGGGGCAGATGTCTTCCTGGTGGGCTGCAGCGCTAGGCCAGCCACCATTTTGTTTTCCTGGCTCGGTGCCCAACGTATGCGCAGTGGGGGGAGTGGACCAGCGCTTTAAATTAAAGGGGCCGCAACAAAATGCTCCCAGTGCTCCCCCCCCTTTTTTTCCCCAACCAAAATTTTCCTTGCCG